TCTTCTTTAGATGGTTTCTTCACCTCCTCTTCTTTTTGTGATTTCTTGACTTCTTTCTCTTCTTTAGTTGGTTTTTTCACCTCCTTCTCTTCTTTAGGGGATTTCTTTACCTCCCTTTCTTCTTTAGATGGTTTCTTGAATTCTTTCTCCTCTTTGGGTGGTATCTTCACCTCCTTCTCTTCTTTAGGTGGTTTCTCTACCTCTTTCTCTTCTTTATGAAGCTTTTTAATCTCTTTCTCTTCTTTAGATGGTTTTTTCACCTCCTTCTCTTCTTTAGGTGGTTTCTTGATTTCTTTCTCTTCTTTAGATGGTTTCTTTACCTTCTTCTCTTCTTTATAGGGTTTTTTCACCTCTTTCTCTTCTTTAGATGGTTTCTTCACCTCCTTCTCTTCTTTACGGGGTTTCTTCACCTCTTTCTCTTCTTTATGAAGCTTTTTAATCTCTTTCCCTTCTTTAGATGGTTTCTTGAATTCTTTCTCCTCCTTGGGTGGTATCTTCACCTCTTTCTCTTTTTTAGATGGTTTCTTCACCTCCTTCTCTAATTTAGGTGGTTTCTTCCCCTCCTTCTCTTCTTTAGGTGGTGTCTTGATTTCTTTCCCTTCTTTGGGAGGCTTCTTCACCTCTTCCTTGAGAGGCTTTGTCTCCTCTTTCACTTCTTTGTGAAGCTTTTTAATCTCTTTCTCTTCTTTAGAGGGTTTCTTAACTCCCTTCTCCCTTTTAGCTGGTGTCTTGATTTCCTTTTCTTTTTTGTGTAGTTTCTTGGCCTCTTTCTCTTTTTGGGGTGGTTTCTTTACTTCTTCCTCTTCTTTTGAAGGTTTTCTCAGTTCTTTCTTTTCTTTGGAAGGTTTCTTCACTTTATCTTCTTTGGATGGTTTCTTACCTTCCTTAGGTGGTTTCTTGACTTCCTTCTCTTTTTTAGGGATCTTCATTTCAACCCCTTCTTCTAAAAGCAATCAAGTGTCAGTTTTCATGTATTGTAAAATGTCTGAAACAGATTTAAAGGTAGGGCAGACCTATAACTGGACAAAGTCATCTGTGCCCATTGGTAAATTATATCCTGAAACAGTTTTGTGTATGGAGTGTATGGTGAACAGTATAATCATGTTCTGTATACAGTGTGGTTACATTTTGTATGTTGGCGGTATATTTCAAAGCTTCAAGCTTTAAGCTTAACTCAAAGAAAGTATTTCGAACTACAAAAAAAAGAACAGTATTTTTCATACTTTTGATAATTTCAGTTGTGATTACCTTCAGGCTTCTCTGGTTTCTTCTTAGTTATTTTTGCTTCAGATTTGATCTCCTTCTTTGGCTTTTCTTCTTTTAGTTTGTCAATGGTTTCCTCAAGTTTGGCTTCCTTTGCTTTTTTCTCCTCCTCAGGTTCTGTGGATTTAAGGTCTATAAACAGCAATAAATTCCCATTTAAGCAGGACTACAAACTGAATTATACCGAATCACAAAATGTTGGATGTATAAAATTCAATTGGGAAGGAAGTGTAGGGCAGAAAGCGCAAAGAACTGAAGTATGTCATGCAAACATATGTAGAAAATATAATGTTTATATATAATGTTACAGTGAAATTTTGATAGTCAAACCAGTATTATCTTCATGACTAATAACAAAGAATCATGCTTGAATAAGCACTAGAAGCTCTACAGCATTAAAACACACCACACGCTTTGTCAGATTTTTCAAACAATTACACTTTTTTAAAATCTATACTGCAGGGATGTACGTCAGGTAATATTATACAGTTATTACACTGATGTACTGTAGGCCTACTATCAACAGGGCAGATAGACAGTGCACATTGAGTTATCTCTTCATCCAGCCTGTTGGCTCCATCTAGCTGCTCTAGAGCTGTGCGATCTCCCTGCATTGACAAACAGCAATGACTGTTTAGAGGAGGAACACTTAAGTACATAATTAGCACCTCAGGAAATAGATTTGTCTTTACTGAGTCATCGAAAAGAAAACATTGAAGGGGCTTGAACTCACCGGGGCTGTACTCAGCTCCTCTTTCCTCACAGCTGTTAGCACCCAACTCAAAAAGAGTTTCTGATATAAATAAAACTTACTTGACCTTATTAGGTCCATATTTATTTCCTTATCAGTTTGGTGTGTAATTAAAAAAACACACCAATATTTTCTATTGCTGTGTCCAAGATGTCAGGCACACAAAGCAGGAGAGAAACTCAGGCTGTACAGTTACACATAAACGATAGAGGATTCATAAAGAAGCACTTTTTTTGCACTTACACCTCAAATCATACAGAGATATGAAGAGACAGGCACCCACTACGGTTTGCTGGCTAATGTTACAGCTAACGCTAACTTGACGAATCTAACACAGGAAGCTAACCATTCATCAAATAGAAGCCTTCAAACAACTGAAACATGTCTATTGTATTATATTCTCTTCTCCATATGTTAACTCAGAGTTCTGATGATGTGAAGGGCTGAAATCATCATTTGAAGACAGTATTTCTGATCTGCTGTGTGATGGTTTAGCTAGCTACCCTGCTTTTCCAGTTTGCACTAAGCTAGGCTAAACACCGATGTATGGCTAATGGAAAGACAGGTTTTAAACGGATTTCAACTTTAATGTCGGAACAAATTTTTCACCTGTAGTGATTAAAACAGTCACAAGAAAATGTAAACTTTAGCAAAACAAATGCACTGAAATGAAATGACTACGAAACATGTTACACAAATAATTGAAAAAGTAGATGAAACGACATTCAGTTTGTCGACCGCCCACATTACTACACATTTAACACACTCGTCATTCAGAAACATTATCATTTCCTGATAATGAAAACAATGTTGACAGATGTGTGATGATGATGATGATGACAGTGAGTTTTGTACCTTTGTCATGTTTGTGGAGTCGCTCTTCATCTTTGTGAGCTGCTCTGGATCCGACTCTTCTGATCCTCTCAAAGAGAACGAGATGTTTTCTCTGTCCTTTACCTTTCCTGCTCTCACTGTTTTCTTCGTCAATGACGTTTTGGTCATAACCAGGAAGAAAAGTGGTCGTCTCTCCTTCATCCGACAGAGTTTTAGGACCTTCGTCCTCAGCTTCTACTTTGTCATGTTCTTCTCCTTCCTCCTCTGAAGCTTCATCACCTTCTATATCTGGCTTCGTGTTCGTTATTTCAATGTTTTCTTCATTTCTTTCTTCATCCAAATGAAGATCTTTATTTTCAGTTTCCTCCTTTTCAGTCTCTTTTTCTATTTCTGCCTCCTCATCTACCAAATCTTCAGTTTTGGCCTCCACCTCTTCCTCCAAAATGTCAGTTTTGGCCTTCTCTTCCTCCTCCCCCTCCTCCTCCAATATTAAAGTTGTGGGCTCCTCCTTTTCCTCCACCTCCTCCTTTTCCTCCACCTCCTCCTCATCCAGATGTTCAGTTTTGGCCTTCTCCTCCTCCTCATCTTCTTCCAAATGTTCATCTTTGGCCTCCTCCTCCTCCTCATCCAGA